GGGGGGGGGAGAGGTGGAAAAAAGAAAAGAAAAAGAAGAGAAAAAAAAACCTTGAGGCAAGAGCAGAGAAGAGAAGAGAATGGAGAATGGAGAATGGAGAATGGAGAATGGAGAATGGAGAATGGAGAAATAATGCGAAATCGCTGGAATTCGTGTCTCAACGACAATTCGCAACGTGTCCGTTTACAAAAGCGTTTCCTCCGAGTACACGCGACGCGAGTACTCTTCGCCTCGTGTCCAGAGAAGCGACATTTGAGAGGATTCCTTGAAACGCGTCGCTGCGGCCGTAACTGCGGTTACTGTCGCGGAACGGCGCAAAGATTTGGCGGCATGACCGGCGGTGGTCGCATGTATCGCACGAACATGGACGAGCGAGGAGGAGTCCTGTCACTCCCCTTTGTGCAAATCTCAGCAGGAGCATTCCTCTTCCCTTGGTAGCTCGTGACCCAAAGGATCCTTCGTGTGAAGAACAGAGAGAGACGATAGTTCCATCATACATAGAACTGCGATTAAACGAATATTCAGGGATAAGCGACGCTGGATTATTCGAAACAAAGAAAGAAAGAAAGAAAGAAAGAAAGAAAGCACACGACATCGAGTTTTACGAAATGTAAATTATGCTAATCTCGCGTACTGCCGTAAAGTGAATGGAAGGGAGAGGACTGCACAGTTTCTGTGACGAGTTAGGTCAATCACGGTACAAATGTTGCGTGTCGTATCGGTTATTAATCGTCGTCGACGAAAGAAAGTTATGATATCCGTTGAAGTCGAGTCGAGTCGAGTCGAGTCAACCGTAGTCAATCGCGTATAATCGCGTAAAGTCGGAGCGGGCTGACTGGCGGCGGCCCTGGCGAGCCCTTGCCACTATGTAGTTGCCGCGATCGCTAGCGCGGTGGAGGGGATATCGGTGGGGTTGCAGTGGTGGGGGTAGCGCTAGCGCTAGATCGAGAAAGTAGGGGGGGGCAAGGGCGGCCGCCAGTCAGCCCGCTCCGACTCTGATCTTGTGAATGAGAACGAAAGGAAAGAGTTACGACGACGAGTACGAGGACGAGGACGAGGACGACAAAGAGAGATACCTTCTTGATCTCCATACTGCCGGGAGTGCTGGAACGCTGCGGCGGTGGCGAGAAGGCTATCTTTTCGTACGGTATGGTGCCGCGGCAGAGAGCGCTCGGATCCAAACTGAGAGCGGCCTTTAGCGCGTTTTTCTTTAACATTCCATTTACGTTAGTAGCGGCACTCGTGTTTAGGCCAGCGTGACTAGGGGAGCAGGTACGTGTGTTGGGTGACGAATTCGTCGTATCTGGCGGCGTGTCGGAGGAAGCAACGATCAGAGAGTCCGAGTTGCTGGTGTCGATGGTGGTCACGCTCTCGTTGCCGTTTCTTTTATCCACGTCCGTGGTCACCTCGGCCGTGCTGCTTCGACGACACTCGATATCTGTTGGACGGTTGTTTCCATTGTCTGCGATTTTTAACTTACCACTATTTTCGATGTCCGTTGAAGTTCGATGTACGCTTTTCTCATCCCAGTTCGAGCTGTCGGCGTTGCGTTTCTTCTGGAAATTCGTCAGAATTCGTCCGATACTTTCTCCGATCGTCCCTCTTTCGTCTACATTGGCTATTAATGCGTAATAATCCTCCGTGTCCGTGCATCTACCGCGTGATACGCAGATAAGCGATAGAAATTGCTCGATAGAAATTAACGACAAGTGAAATTGAACCCTCCGGGACCAGTCAACGAGATTCGAGCACGAAATATAAATCGGTGAAATCGATAATAGATAACGTGCACCATAAAACGGACTTTGGTAGAGAACTTTGGTGTCAAAGATCGATTTGTTTCAATATATCGATAAGTGGAACATTACAGAACATAATAGCCAACGTACGAAATGATAAATATTACTACCGCTGTTTAATTTCGAAAAAATATGAATCGATGAACAGTGCAAATGCTAGTTATTGCTTGAAAGAAAGAAAGAAAGAAAGAAAGAAAAAAAAAAAGAAAAGAAAGGAGAAAGCACAGTACTGCTAGCATACGTACCCCAAGTACTTATTATATCACATGTATATTATTATTCACACAAATAATTCTGCTGTTGGCTTGTTTCAATAATTTTCAATTCATCGTTGTATGTAACGTATGTGAAACGTTGTGCTTTATACTGGTGCAAACAAGTTGATTAAATTTAATCGAAATTTTGTTGAAAGTGCAAACAAGATTAAAGTAGAAAAGTAGAGAAAAAGTGCCATTGCTCGTGCCATTGCAAATATTTGTGCCAATTTGATACATGTGGATTTTTAAAAACTATACCTATCTGTTGGCATTGATCGAGATTTATAGTAATACGTAGGATAATAGTATCTAATTGGATAGTCAGACTCGAGTGGGAATATTATAACACGTTGAATGCCAGTAAGGTTAATCCACTGAACAGTAAGGTTATTATCACTCTTCTCGACTTGTCTGTTGCGAGTAATATTTCGTAACGTGACACGTTGCTATATTAATTACGCGATGATTCACGTTGGCGTCCTGCGAAATTAGCAGCGTGACATTGAACGTGTTACAAATACATAGGTGAATACATATGCGGTGAAATACATTTTTCCCGCAAAGACAAAGGGAGACAAATGGATGGAATAACGAATATTACGTTGCGAGGGAATAAATTACGCTGCGAAATCTGCGAAATCTGCGAAATCTGCGGGAATGCATTATTATTATTAAGAGCAAAAGAGAATGATTTACCTAAGCTTCGTACACGAACGGTGGTTTACGATAAAAAGAAGGCATAGAAGCAGAGAAGCAGAGAAGCAGAAGAGAAATTTGTTTCTGGTGTAGGCGGAATGTATCCAATGTACCTCTGTATGATCGTTCTCGCGATTGAAATCATCGCGGTTGCCGCCAAACGTTGTTTGTTGTTCGGATGTGTTGCCGGACGACGCAGGGCCATAAGCATTCGATTGGAACGGTTGTCCTTGCACGCGGTTGTCCGTCGGTTGTTGCGTTGTTACGTTTACATTTCTTTCGTTGGTATTCGTTGGCATTCGGTTGGGATTTTCGTTTCTGGCGGCGTTGTTGCTTGCGGCAACAACTTGAGCCATACGTTGACTAGCCGATCGCGGATCGATAATTCTCGGTTGCATGTAACCACATGCGTCCAGCTATAAGAATTGTAGTTATATTCGCACACGCGTCACGCGAGATGTTTCGATGTTTCGAAGAGGGGGAGGGGAAAGAAAACTCACTTCCGACTGCACGTTGATGCATTCTGTTTCCGGATCTGGTCTCACGATGCTGACTTCGCGCTCGCAGATTGGTAAAATATCGAAATTTGGCGTCGGATGTTTTATCACGTCGGGGTCCTAAGTGTAAATGTTATATCTCTTGAGATGCAAACGAACGTCGAAACAACACGTCGTTTCGAACATTGTCTAAAGTATTATTCCGATCGTGAGATTCACGGCATGGGATCTCACTAATAAACTAATAAACTAATAAACTAATAAACAGCACACAAGGTGACGTGTGAAAGAACGTCTCTAAGGGAATCTCACATCTCCTTGAATACTTGAATATCTTAAAAAAAATGAAGATATTTTTGTAGCAGGATATTTCTCCGTAATTTATTTTAGGGAGTGACGAGTTTTACGAAACGAAATTGGTTCTGATACTTTTGTCGTCGACGATGAGAGTCATCGAGAGAGATCATCTTGGATGATCATGAGGTTCGAATGAATTTTTACCTGTAAACAGTAACCAATTCTCTCGACGATAGTGGCGAAGCTAGGCCGGTCCTCGGGTCGCGAGTGCCAACATCGTGTCATTATTCCATAGATCGGGTCGGGGCATCCGGCTGGCTTTTCCAGCCGGCCTCCCAACGTCACCATCGCCATAGCCTCCCTGTTGGTACAACCGGTGTAAGGTATATAGCCAAAGGACATGATCTCCCACAGCAGTACGCCAAATGCCCTGTAACCGGAGATATATAATACGTCGTCATCGAGTATAGTCCTCGTAGTATATCGCATCGACATACTTGTTACATATTTTCTTTCGAAAAATGGACCAATTTATAATTCCTGCCGGATATTTCTAATCCGTAGACGGGATTAGAGATAATATAGAATTTCTCGTAAAGAGTAAATACGAATAGAAGCTCGTACGGTATATTATAATTATAATTATAAAGTGTATCCGCAGTGTTGAACGATTGAGAGAAATTTCTTTTGAAAAGAACCATCAGGTTGCTGCACGGGCAATTGTTCCTTGGAACAAATTACCTTACTTTCAAGTAAGGTGAGCAGAGGAATGGAGCAGACAATGCAAAGAGAATTTCGACTTTCGTCAGAAAAGTCAAGGTCAACAGCCGGAAGTCGAAGGTGTAGAATTCATGCGTGTCTGTGATAGCCAAGATAGGCCAATAGGCCAATAGACCTATAGATCTAGTAGGTAGATAGGTGGAGACAGGCGGAGGATTATTCATTCAGAAAAATGTGAAAGGTAAGCCCGTCTCACCAGACGTCGGTCTTTGTAGTGAATATCCCGTCCAAGAAACTTTCCGGTGGCATCCACTTGATCGGCAGCATGGCCTTGCCCCCCTTCCTGTAGTAGTCGCTCCTGTAAATGTCCTTGGCCATGCCGAAGTCGGCAATTTTCACTACCCGGCCGGGCCCCTTGCACGTCAGCAGACAGTTTCTGGCAGCGATGTCTCGATGAATGAATCGGGCCTCCTCCATGTATTTGCAACCGTTGGCCACGTCGTAGCCGCATATTATCAGATCCTGCATCGTCAACAAGGTCGGCCGGTCCTGCCAACATACATATAAACGCATAAATATAAACGCATCATGCACGACGCGTGCGCCAACAGTCTAGCTCTTGTCCCTGATATTTTTGCTGTAAATTGAATTGCAATCGAGAACGACAGAAAGCAGATGGAACTTGATGGCGAAGAATTCGGACTCGATATCGATAAAGGAAAGAGAAAAAAAGAAAAGAAAAAGAAACGCTCAAACGCTCACTGTGTAGAGAAACTCAAGAAAGAACATGAAAAGGATCCTCGGACCTTCCAGAACTCCTTCCAAGAAATCTCCAGAAGGCCTAACCTAACCTAAACCAAACTTAAAATTTATAATCGCATAAATTGTACAACGTCAGATGCCGGAAATCGAAGGAAAAAAAAATGGCTCATTTGTCGTAGTCAAAAGCTAGAAGAAACCAGAGTTGCTTTCGTTCCGAGTTCGTCAAAAAAAAAAAA